GCCTCGCGCCGCCCCTTTGCAGCAGCCTCCGCTCGTGGCGTAGCAGGCGATGGGGCTGGGGCGGCAGAGCCGCGTGGTTGGTGGCAGGGCTGAAGCAGGCGCCGCTTCGGGCTGGCCGTGGTGAGGAGCCCCGGCTGGGGGGAGGCTCCTGGGAGGGGGTGAGCCTGCCTTCAGCCAAGCCCGCAGCTCGAGAGCATCACGCGGAAGTCCTGCTCCACCTGCATGGGGGAACTTTGACTTTGCTGCTTGGTTACAACTATAAACTTCTCTCTAGATTGCAGACTTTGGCCTCTCCAATGTTTACCAGCAGGACAAACTTCTGCAGACTTATTGTGGCAGCCCGCTCTATGCATCTCCTGAAATCATCAATGGGAGGCCGTATAAAGGCCCAGAGGTGAGTTGTATCTTGCTCCCCTGCTCAACTGACGTGCTGGAAGTGTCTTGCAACGGGAAAGCTCTGAGTGCTTTCCCAGCAGAGAGCAATATTATTGGTGCCTGGGGTCTAAGATTTGCCGGTGTGAGCTGGGGTGATGGGTCCCCCGAGACAAAGCGCCGCACAAACGGTGCGCGGTAACTGCATGTCGCAGCGAGAGGTGCCAGGCTGACATGGCAGGATGCCCACAGCACCTTCTCAAGCTAGTCTTGCTGCGTTCCCTTGTCCTCCAGAAGAGGACTGCTATCCCAGGAGTTGCTGGTTAGCCTCTAGTAGGAGCTTCTAAATGTGCTGGCACTGAGCTTGCTGCCGGTGCATGCGGCAGCCCTATCTTGCTGGCCCACCCTGATCCACCTCTGCATCTTTCAGGTGGACAGCTGGTCTCTTGGTGTGCTCCTCTACATCCTGGTCCATGGTACAATGCCGTTTGATGGCCAGGACTACAAGACTCTGGTCAAGCAGATCACGAGTGGGGACTACCGGGAGCCCACGAAGCTATCAGGTAGGTAGACCCCCATAGCACCATGTGGCTCTTCCCCTCCCCATCCTGCTGTGCACGTTGCCTTCGGTGGCTGACCTGGCTCTTCCCCAGATGCCTGTGGGCTGATCCGGTGGATGCTGATGGTGAACCCAGAGCGCCGAGCCACCATTGAAGACATTGCCACTCACTGGTGGGTGAACTGGGGCTACAAAGTGCCTATCGGGGAGCAAGAGATGTTGCGGGAGAGCGAGTCCCCCCTGGCCACGGTGGCAGAGTGGCTGCGCCGATCCTCCCGGCCCCTCTTTGAGAACGGCTCCAAGGTGCGCTGCTTCTTCAAGCAGCACATCCCCAGCGTCACCCTGGAGAGGCAGCGCTCCCTCAAGAAGTCCAAGAAGGAGAACGACATCTCCCACATGCTGCAGGAGGTGGCTGTGGCCCCGGAGAACCCCTCCAAGTCCATCCTGAAGAGGCCCAAGGGGATCCTGAAGAAGAGAAACTCCAGCGACCAGAAGGCACCTGGCCCCGGCCCCCCGCAGGCAGGTCCTGCTGGAGAGGCCAGGGATGAGGAGGGCGAAGCAGGCGCTGGGGGGCCGGCCCGGGGCCCG